GATCTCATGAACACACTCATCATGAAATTCGAACACCAAGCCAAAGGAAAGGCTCATCAATCGAACTACTAGAAGTAGTATGAAAATAAGAAGTTTAGTTTTAAAATAATTCTATCAAGAAGCATACTTGAAAAAGAATGGTTTCTGCAAGATCAAAAAGATCCAAGACAAGATGAAAACCCTCTTGGTTTAAACATACTTGACACGAAAAATGGACACTCCATTTAACAAAAATTCCTCACAGGAAAAACTCTCAAAAGAGACAACAAAAATGACCACTCAAGGGTGCTTCTAAAATTCGGCCAAGCCTCCTATATATAGGCTTGAATTTTTCGGCCAGCACCTCTAAAAAGAAGACCAATTAGGACTCTCTAATCTTATCTCACAAGGAGTAAAAGTAGAAGAGTACTTGATCTCTTTGACTCTATCTAAAATCTAGGAAACCTTATCTAAATCACTTATCCTCAAGTAGGATAATATCTAGAAGGAATCTAAGACTCCTAATCAAAACACTCTAGCTTAATTCAGTCCACATGACTTATTTAACTAGATAAAATTCGAAAAATTGACTCCTAGACTTAGACTAACTCTAATCTCGAAATTCAGCTCCAAATTCTTGAAGTTAAATGTCTTGAACGCCCTTCCAAAAGTGGAATATTGGTCTTTCGCCCCTTAAGTTGTAGAAACCTCCAATTTACTCCAAAACTTGTAGAATTCACCTTATTGACTCCAAAAGATTGGAAAAACACTTGAAACAATTAAGATAGCTTGCAACCTATCCAATTGTGTAGCAATGGACTCAATCTTGAACACTTTGATCAAATAGGCCGTCCACTCATGAACCTAAATGACTCTTCTCACTAGCTTTGATCAATGATCTTCATGGAGCACACAGAGTCAAACTCTCTTGATACTCTTCAGCACTTATTTCCATGAGGTCTTCATCTCCTTTTGTTTGCACCCCAAAGTTAATGACATTCTCATCACCTTGATCATAGCTCTCTTGAACCAACTCCCTATCACATAGGTAGTCAAGATCCATCCTTTCTTCCTTGATTGGCCTGCAAAGTAAACTTGGCATTCCAAATCTAGAATGAAGGATTAACTCATTCCCCTCACTAGGAGAACCTCCATGGAAGGCTACATGATTCTCATCAGTACATGTGGGGTTATAGAGCCCAAGGCATGAGGATTGGGCCTCCAATCGGATTTATGGATGCAAAACCCGTACAAGTAGGTTTACAGAGCCAAAGGCATGAGGATTGGGCCTCCAATCAGATGTACGGAAGCACAAACTGTACAGATGGGGTTAGAGCCGATGGGATGAGGATTGGGCCTCTAGGCAATTGTAAGGATTCACAAATCGTATATGTTTGCAAAGCCAAAGGTATGAGGAGTGAGACTCCAATCGGCTGTACGGATGCGCAAATCGTACGTGTCGGGTTACAGAGCCTAAGGCATGATGATTGGGCCTCCAATTGGATGTACGGATGCACAAACTGTGCATGTGGGGTTGCAGAGCCAAATGCATGAAGATTGGGCCTCGAATTGAAAATAGGGATGCATAAACCGTACATGTGGGGTTACAAATCAAAAGACATGAGGACTGGGACTCCAATCAAATGTCCGGATGCACAAATTATACATGTTGGGTTACGGAGACAAAGGCATGAGGATTGGGCCTCCAGTCGGATGTACAAATGCACAAACCGTACATGCAGGGTTACGAAGCCGAAGGAATGAGGATTGGGCCTCCAATCGACTTTTTGGACGCACAAACCGTACATTTGAGGTTACAGATTGAAAGACATGAAGATTGGGACTTCCATCGAATGTACGGATGCACAAACTGTACATGTGGGGTCACATATCGAAAGAAATGAGGATTGGGACTCCATTCGACTGTACAAATACACACACTGTACATGTGGGCTTACAGGACCAAATGCACGAGGATTGGGCCTCCAATCGACTGTACGGATACACAAACCGTACATGTGGGGTTACAGAGCCAAATGCATGAGGATTGGGCCTCCAATCGATTGTACGGATACAAAAACCGTACATGTGGGGTAACAGAGCCAAAGGCATGAGGATTGGGCCTCCAATCGGATTTATGGATGCAAAAATCGTACATGTGGGGTTACAGAGCCAAAGGCATCAGAATTGGGCCTCCAATCAGATGTGCGGATGCACAAACTGTACATGTGGGGTTACAAATTGAAAGACATGAGGATTGCAACTCCAATCGGATGTGTGGATGCAGAAACCACACAAGTGAGGTTACAGAGCAGAAGGCATGAGGATTTGGACTCCAATCTACTGTATAGATGCACAAACGGTACGTGTGGGGCTATAGAACTAAAGGCATGAGGATTGGGCCTCCAATCGATTGTACTAATGCACAAACCGTACATGTGGGATTACAGATCGAAAGACATGGGGAAACTGACTCCAATCGGATGTATGGATGCATAAACCGTACATGTGGGGTTACTGAGACGATGGCATATGGATTGGACCTCCAATCGGATGTACAGATGCACAAATCGTACATGTAGGGTTATAGAGCCAAAAAAATGAGGATTGGGACTCCAATCAACTCTATGGATGCTAAAACCGTACATGTGGGGTTACAAAGCCGAGGGCATGAGGATTGCACCTCCAATCGGCTGTATGGATGCACAAACTGTATATGTGGGGTTACAGATCGAAAGACATGAGGATTGGGACTCCAAAAATCTGATGTATAGATGCACAAACCATACATACGGAGATACAAAGCCAAAGGCATGAGTATTGGGCCTCCAGTCGAATGTACGGTTGCACAAACCGTACATGTTGGGTTGAGGAGCCAAAGGCATGAGGATTGGGCCTTCAATTGATAGTTTGGATGCACAAACCGTACATGTCAGGTTAAAGATCGAAAGACATGTGGATTGGGACTCCAATAAAAAAAACGGATGCACAAACCGTACATGTGGGGTCAAAGACTGAAAGACATGAGGATTGGGACTCTAATCGACTGTACGGATACACACACCATACATGTGGGGTTGCAGAGCCAAATGCATGATGATTGGGCCTCCAATCAACTCTATGGATGCACAAACGGTACATGTGGTGTTACAGAGCCAAAGGCATGCAGATTGGGCCTCCAATTAACTGTACATCACACAAACCATACATAAGGATTTACAGAGCTAAAGACATGAGGATTGTGCCTCCAATCGAATGTACTAATCCAAAAACCATACATGTGGGGTTACAGAGCAAAAGGTATGAGTATTCGGCGTCCAATCGGATGTGTTGATGCACAAACCTTACATGTGGGATTACAGAGCCAATGGTATGAGGATTGGGCATCCAATAAACTTTATGGATGCACAAACCGTACATGTTGGACGAAAGGCATGAGGATTAGTCCTCCAATCGGCTATACGGATGCATAAACTATGCAAGTTGGTTTACAGAGCCAAAGGCATGAGGATTGGGACTCCAATCAACTGTAAGAACGCACAAACCGTACATGTAAGTTTACAAAGCAAAAGGCATGAGTATTGAGCCTTCAATTGGATGTACGGATGCACAAACTGTGCATGTGGGGTTACAGAGCCAAAGGAATTGGACTCCAATCGGATGTACGGATGCACAAACCGTACATGTGGGATTACAGATCAAAAGACATTGGGAATTGGACTCCAATCGGATGTACGGATGCACAAACCGTACATGTGGGGTTACGGAGACAATGGCATATGGATTGGACCTCCAATCTGATGTACGGATGCACAAACCATACATGTGGGGTTACAGAGCCAAAGGGATGAGGATTGTGACTCTAATCAACTTTAAGAATGCACAAACCATACATGTAGGGTTACAGAGCCATAGGCATGAGGATTGGGCCTCCAATCGGATGTACGGATGCACAAACCGTACATGTGGGGTTACGGAGCCAAACGCATGAGGATTGGGCCTCCAATTGACTGTTTGAATGCACAAACCTTACATGTTAGGTTAAAGATCAAAAGACATGAGGATTGGCACTCCAATCAACTGTACGGATACACAAACCATACATGTGGGGTCACAAATCGAAAGACATGAGGATTGGGACTTCAATCGAATGTATAGATGCACTAACCGTACATGTGGGTTCATAGATCAAAACACATGAGGATTGGGACTCCATTCAACTGTACAGATAAACACACCGTACATGTGGGGTTACAGAGCCAAATGCATGAGGATTGGGCCTCCAATCGACTGTATGGATACAAAAACCGTACATGTGGGGTTACAGCGCCATAGGAATGGGGATTGGGCCTCCAATCGGATTAATGGATACAAAAACCGTACAAGTGGGGTTATAGAGCCAAAGGCATGAGGATTGGGCCTCAAATCAGATGTACGGATGCACAAACTGTACATGTGGGGTTACAGATTGAAAGACATGAGGATTGGAACTTCAATCAGATGTATGGATGCACAAACCATACAAGTGGGTTACAGAGCAAAAGGCATGAGGATATGGCCTCCAATCAACTGTAGGGATGCACAAACAGTACATGTCGGGTTACAGAGCCCAAGGGATAAGGATTGGGCCTCCAATCAACTGCACAGATACACAAACCATACATGTGGGGTTATAGGGGCAAAGGCAAAGGCCTCCAATCGACTGTATTGATGCATAAATCATACATTTGGGGTCACAAATCGAACGACATGAGGATTGGAACTCCAATCGACTATACATATCCACAAACTATACATGTGGAGTTACAGAGCAAATGGCATGAGGATTGGGCCCCCAGTCAACTGTACGAATTCACAAACGGTACATGTGGGGTTATAGCAAAGGAATGAGGATTGGGCCTCCAATCCACTGTCGGAATACATAAACCATACATGTGGGGTTATAGAGCCAAAGGCATGAGGATTGGGCCTCCAATCGGATGTACGGATGCACATACCGTACATGTGGGGTTACAAAGACGATGGCATATGGATTGGACCTCCAATCGGATGTACGGATGCACAAATCATACATGTGGGGTTATAGAGACAAAGAAATGAGAATTGGGACTCCAATCAACTCTACGGATGCTCAAACCGTACATGTGGGGTTACAGAGCCGAAGGCATGAGGATTGCACCTCCAATCGACTGTATGGATGCACAAACTGTACATGTGGGGTTACAAATTGAAAGACATGAGGATTGGTACTCCAATCGGATGTACATATGAATAAACCGTACTTGTGGGGTTACAGAGCCAAAGGTGTGAGGAATTGGCCTCCAATCGACTGTATGGATGCAAAAACTATATATGTGGTGTTACAGATTGAAACACATGAGGATTGTGACTCCAATTGGATGTACGGATGCAAAAACCGTACATATGGTGTTAGAGAGGTAAAGGCATTAGGATCGTGCCTCCAAGCGTATGTACAGAAGCACAAACTGTACATGTGGGGTTATGATGAGAATCATGTAGCCTTCCATGGAGGTTCTCCTAGTGAGGGGAATGAGCTAGTCCTTCATTCTAGTTTTGGAATGCCAAATTTACTTTGCAGGCCAATCAAGGAAGAAAGGATGGATCTTGACTACCTATGTGATAGGTAGTTGGTTCAAAAGAGCTATGATCAAGGTGATGAGAATGTCATTAACTTTGGAGTTCAAACCAAAGGAGATGAAGACCTCATGGAAATAAGTGTTGAAGAGTATCAAGAGAGTTTGACTCTGTGTGCTCCATGAAGATCATTGATCAAGCTAGTAAGAAGAGTCATTTAGGTTCTTGAGTGGACGGCCTATTTGAGCAAAGTGTTCAAGATTGAGTCCATTGCTACACAATTGGATAGGTTGCAAACTATCTTAATTGTTTCGAGTGTTTTTCCAATCTTTTGGAGTCAATAAAGAGAATTCTACAAGTTTTGGAGTAAATTGGAGTTTTCTACAACTTAAGGGGCGCAAGACCAATATTCCACTTTTGGAAGGGCGTTCAAGACATTTTACTTCAATAATTTGGAGCTGAATTTCGAGATTAGAGTCATTGTCTAAGTCTAGGAGTCAATTTTCGAATTTTTATCTAGTTAAATAAGTCATGTGGACTGAATTAAACTAGAGTGTTTTGATTAAGTGTCTTAGATTCCTTCTAGATATTATCCTACTTGAGGATAAGTCATTTAGATAAGGTTTCCTAGATTTTAGATAGAGTCAAAGAGATCAAGTACTCTTCTACTTTTACTCCTTGTGAGATAAGATTAGAGAGTCCTAATTGGTCTTCTTTTTAGTGGTGCTGGCCGAAAATTCAAGCCTATATATAGGAGGCTTGGCCGAATTTCTTAAGCACCCTTGAGTGGTCATTTTTGTTGTCTCTTTTGAGAGTTTTTCTTGTGAGGAATTTTTGTTAAATGGAGTGTCCATTTTTCATGTCAAGTATGATTAAACCAAGAGGGTTTTCATCTTGTCTTGGATCTTTTTGATCTTGCAGAAACCATTCTTTTTCAAGTATGCTTCTTGATAGAATTGTTTTAAAACTAAACTTCTTATTTTCATACTACTTCTAGTAGTTCGATTGATGAGCCTTTCCTTTGGCTTGGTGTTCGAATTTCATGATGAGTGTGTTCATGAGATCCATTGTGGGGTTTGTCCTACTTTTTTTGGATGAGTTGTGCTTTGGCATAAGCATTTTGAGATAGTGTATGTGTTGCATATCTTTGGTTGGTTATGAAGATTACTAATCAATAGTATTCCTTCATAGTTGGGCATTGTTTGCTCCTCCCTTTCTTGAGTCTCTTGATAGATGACTGATCGAGTATATTGAATGGTGTCCTTGCTATTCTTAGCGTGGGTTGTTGTTTAATTCGAATCTTTCATGGATAATGTGTTCTTTGCTTGGTTTGAGTTAAGAGATATAATCACTTAGATAAACGATCGTCTTACTGTGAATTTTCCGCACTCTTTTGAGTTTCACGGGATAGACAAAATTATCTTCGTACTTTCTTATTGATGGTTGCATTAACGAAATTTGCTTCGTCTACGAGATTGCTATCAGGTTACAGAGGCGAAGGAATGAAGATTGGACCTCTAAGCAATTGTAAGGATGCACAAATCGTACATGTGGGGTTGCAAAGCCAAAGGCATGAAGATTAAGCCTCCAATCGGCTGTACGGATGCGCAAACCGTATGTGTTGGGTTATAGAGCCTAAGTGATAGAGACAATCTAGCTAACGCTAATGGAGCGGGACATGTTGCTGCCAATAATGGAGGAGACGAGCAAGTTGAGGTCGTGAATGCTAATGAAGGATCTAAAAATGCTGTTTTAAAGAATAATCCTTACATTCGTGATCCACTTTCAAATATTGTTGGACCAATGACTCGTGCTAGACGCAAGAGGATGAATGAATCACTTAATAGTCTAATTGTTACTACATGGGCTAAGGAGGAAATTAAGCTTGAAGATTACAAGCCCAAGACTATTAATTTGTTGCAAGTAACACCAAATGGACATGGCCCATTTGGAGAGAAGAATTTTGGCCCTCAATCCTCAAAGGGACCGCCGGCCACATCTCCTCATGTTGGTCGAATTGCTCCCTAAAGTTTAGGGGTAAGATCATTCAAATTTTATCTCTTTGAAAGAGAAGACTTTTATCTCTTTAAAGGATAATATTTGGGATGATTCTTTTTATCTTGTTTTTCGAGTTTTCCTACAATAAGGAGTCAGCTTTTGATGTCTACTCAACCGTTGGATGAAGACTACATCAAGATGGATGGCTTAAATCACTCTACAAAGAAGATGATGATAGAGTTTTAACTCAAGGGAGATTCTATCCATTGGAATCTTTCTAAGAGATTATCTCTTTGTATTTTGGAGTTTTAATTAATTCCTACAAGTCTTAAATGTTTTAAGACTAGTGAAAGTGTCTAGGTTCGTTATCTTATCACTTAAGATAACTAGGAGTCTTTAGAGTTTGATTTCATTTTAGATTCTTAGAGATAGGAATAGAGGTGAAGAGTTGTGTTCTGCCTCTACTTCTAGGAAAGAAATTTTGGCCACCCCTCTATATATAGGGACCAAAATCCTCTTGTCCAACACCTTTGTGTCATTTGATATTTTCCTGAGTGAAATTGGTTAGGATTTTATTCCTTTCGTGGAGTTCTTGTGAGGACTTCTTTGTTTGGTTGTTGCATATGTGTTGTGACAATTGTTAGACTTATCTATCTTGTTTAGTTCGCTTCATAGTGGCGTCTATAGCATTGGATCTTTCGAATCTTGGTATTTGGGCTCATAGATCTCATATCTATTGGTATTTCTTACACAATTTTCCAAAGGGTCTCTGCTTGGTTAGAATTAGCTCTCTTCATTTTTGATTTGGGTTTTTCTACCATTGAACTCGTGAATTGATCCACGTGAGGTCAAATATCTTTTCTTTTCTTTGTTTTCGTGTGTTCTAGAGTCTTTAAATCCGAATTTCCAAATTCCGCTGCCTACAAATCTCTGACTTTCCGAATTAGCAAAGTTTGTCTTTTCTTAAAGATTGGTTTTGTCACGGATTGCTATCATAATTTTGGTATCAGAGCCTTCTTATGGTTTTACCATAGTTGGCATATTTAGAGCCATAATTTGGTATATCAAGAGTCATCTTTGGTTACCATAATTGGTCTCAAAATTCGGATTTTTGTGTTCTTGTTTTCTTCCTCTCTTCGAATTTTCCTCTCTCAAAAGAGGGTATTCGTAATATTTTGTTTTTGAGTTGTTCACCACTTGGACAATTCCTTTTAGTTTCGTGCCTTTCGTTTTGTTATCATCCAATAGCAAACTTTGGTGATTGTGTTTGATATATATCTCTCGTTCCAAGATCTCTATATCTTGAGGGTGATTGATGTTCATTCATTGATTGTTGGAGGAGCTTTTGTGTTGAAGGTGTTTGTTTGATTTGGCCGTACAAAAAAAAAAAAAAAATTGGTGTGAGTCTAGGGTTCTCGGCCGCCCCTACAAAAAAAAAAATAGCCGTACAAAAAAAAACGGCAGAGAGAAAAAAAAAAAAAAGTGAACAAGGAGTCTTCTTTGATTGGCTACATTAAAGGTTGCCTTGCATTAGGAGATTTCAAAAGAGTTGGAAGTGAATTGGAAAGAATCTTCTTGAAGAGGTATATTCAAAGTCTATCTCTATCTAAGAAGGTTAGATAAAGTTGTGTTTGATTGGGAGTTTATCTTTGCTATTTAATTGCCTATATTCTCTCAAAAGATAAGATTCTCTTCAAATCTTATCCTAATCTTATCTTATTGGATAAAACCTTATCCTATCTTATTGGATAAAACCTTATCCTTATCTCATCTTATAAAAGATAAGATTCTCTTTAAGTTTTATCCTTATCTTATCTTGTAAAAGATAAAATTTTATCCTAATCTTATCTTAATTGGATAAATCTTATCCTTATCCTATCTTATTGGATAAAATCTTATCCTTATCTCATCTTGTAAAGATAAGATTCTCTTTAAGCTTATCCTTATCTTATCTTGTAAAAGATAAGATTATCATAAAATCTTATCCTTATCCTATAAGAGTTTGAGTTTGGGTTGGAGTCTGAGATATCATTTGAGTTTACTTATACTTATAAAGTGAGATCCCTATTTTTTCTCCAAACACTCGAACGAGATTCGTGTTCTCCCTCGTTCTTTTCTGGAATTTCCCAAAATTTACTCTACGTGCTAATTGACTTTGTCTACTTTTGAGTGTTTTATTCGAGTGGATTTTTTAATTAATTGTTGTGGTGCATGTTGCTACTACTTGAACATTGAAGCTGATCCGGAACTTTACCAAAGGTCTTTGAGTGGTAAAAGGCTTGAGTGTTTTCTTTCTATTCCACTTTGATATTGGGAAAAAAAGCCAAATAAATCCCAAAGAGAGCATACAAAAGGTGAGTTGTGTGTGATACTACCAAAAGGGGGGAAAAGTAAAAGATCATTGGTTAGGGGAAGTGAGGTAGGAACGTTTTCTACTAACATCCTATATATTCGTTTGTTCTTTGATTTTAAAGGATGTCATCTGGAGACGATAGTGAACAAAGAGACGACCGTTCTCAAGATGCTATGCGAGAAACTCTTGCTAGATTGTATAATGTTACTACTCAATTATGTAGTAGAATACAAGATCTAGAACTAGAGGTTCGTAATGGTCGTGCTCAAGGTAATGAAGGTAATGAAAATCGTAATAGAGCTCATCGTGTTGTCAATAGGAATGATCCTTATGAACTTGGTAATTTCAAAGTTCAAATTCCTGAATTTAGTGGTACTAATGACCCTGAAGCCTATCTTGCATGGGAAAAGAAGGTAGAGCGTGCTTTTTCATTGCAGGATTATGATGATTCTAAGAAGATTAGAATGGCCGTTTACCAATTCAATAACTATGCTTC